ACTCCATCTTCACTCTGGGATTCCACCCTCCAAAAACATGCTTTAGTCAAATCAAGTCAAAAAAAAAAAAAAAAACCTCCATGAACTCAGGAATAATTCATGGAAAACAATAGTAACAGTATCTATACAGAGGCTGCCTAAGGAGCCACTCCACGTGACATTTCCCTGTCTCTGTTTTTGCCCTTCCCTTTTATTCCTTCCTTTCTCCATGCAGAGCTATAATGTTAGAGAGAGAGTGAGAGAGAGAGAGAGAGTGCGTCCGTTGTGGGGGGGGGGGGGGGGGGGTGCGCGCTAGTAAACTTGGTAGGAAAGGACAAAGGGCATTCTGAAAGCAGGGGGAGACTCAAGTAAATGGAGAATGAGGGCAGAAAGAGGGTTAAATTAAAGTCCCCTCAAGCAGCCGAACAAGGCAACGCCAGCACACCACCCTCCCTTTTTGGGCCACCCCCAGGGGGTCCTCTTCCTTATTATCGCCAACTGAAATCAAAAGTTGGACTACCCCTACCCAGACCAACAAATCTCCAAATGTCAGGGCACTAGCGACATCGGGAATGACAGGCTAATGTTCCTCCCCCACACTCCCTCCCCCCAAAAAAGAGAAAAGTCCAATCCAATAAGTGCAGGTCATCCTGCCCTCTGGGGCAGTTCCAGCCTGCGCAGAGAAGGCTCGGATGGGTCGAGAAAGACAGACCGTCTCTATTTCCACACACCCTCAGCTGGAGAAACAAAACAAAGGCAGCCCTCCTTCCCGGTAGCCACTACCCCAGCCACAGAGGCTTTCCTATTTCCCGGTGCAGTCTGGCCTCCCGCCCCCGCCCCATGACAAAGAAAAGGCACTTGGTGAGCAAGGCCTTCCTGCCTCCACGGCTGGGGGAGGGGGCTGCGAGGTGAGGAGCCCCCTCGACTCCCCCGCGCTCACGCTCCCGGCCCGCGGCGGAGAGCGGAGGCCTGGGAAGCCGGCCCGGGAAGGGGTTGGGGGTACCTTGAAGTAGCCGCCTTCGTAGAGGGTGTTAGGGGGTCCGAAGATGGCCACCTCCCAGTTGTAGAGGTCGGACTCATCCACCAGGGTGATCCGGAAGCCCTCCACTGGTTCCTCCTGCAAGGATTTCAGCTCAAGCATCAAGGCTTTTTGCGAGCTGGTCATCTGCTGCTGGGCCATCGCGGCGGCGGCGGCCGTGCGGGGCCGCGGCCCCAGTCCTCGCGCACCGGCCGGGCCGGACCAGGCCCCTCCCCTCCGCTCGCTCTCGGGCCGGGCCGGGCCCCTGTCTTCACACGCCTGGTGGGGCCGGATCAGGCCCCAGACGGCCCGCGGGCCCGCCCGGGGTCCTCCTCACTCTCGACGCGGGCCGGCCCGGGCCCTCCTCACTCTCGGGCCGGGTGGGGGCGGGCCTGAAGGAGTTGGGGGGAATCCGCTCCCGGCCCCGGGCCTCCCCCCCCCGGAGGGGGCCTCTACTTGTGGGGGGGGGAGTGGAGGTGGAAGCGAAAGAAGGCGGCGGAGGGCAGGCGGTGGTGAAGACAGGGGGGCCGGGCTGGGCCGGGAGCGCCGTGCTCGCTCGCCCTCTCGTTCTCCGCGGGGGCCGGAGGGGCGCACGAGGGAGGGCGCGCCGTGCGCTAGGGTCTCGGGGACGGTGGCGGCGGCGGCGACGGCGGCGGCGGCTGCGCGGGGGGAGGGGCGGAGGAGAGGAGCGAGAGCGCCTCGCGCCGCGGGAGCGACAGAGCAGAGAAGGAGGGAGGGAGGGAGGCAGGGAGGGACAGAGAGGAGGAGGGGCGCGCGCCGGGAGGGGGGCGGCTCGCGGCGGCAGCTGCCCGGTGCGCGTGCGCGCGCCCCTCCTTTCTCCTCCCCCCCC